CGTAAATTATCTTAAGATATATTATGCATAGACTATGTTCCTAAGATAGTTCTATGATAATATATGCTTATTTAATTGAGGTTATTACGCGTTAAGTAAAATAAAATGGACTTCAATAGAGTAGACAACCCTCAATTTTAAAGGTCGTACTTTAGAATGTATTATGAGTTTATCATTTTATCAAATAGGTCAATTATATGTAATTTATTTTAAATGAGCTTTATAGGTTAGGTAATCTAAAGTCCAAACAAAAATGCAAGGTTTATTAGTTTATTACGTATGTATTAGGTTGAAACTATACCTACAACACTAAAGGGTAGAAAGAAAGATTACTCATAACTTTACTCTATGTGTCATTTCACTGTTCATTGATTTAATCATTTGATTAATGTAAAACTATAAATAACGAATCAAACTTCTGTTAAATTAAGGGTTTTGTGTAAACTGCTTAATTTTTCCAAACATTAATTACATACTATAACTTGTAGGCTCTAAAGAGAATATGATGCAAAACAAATTATTTTCACTCATCCTAAAGTGAAATCAAAAATTGTCAATGGTATTGCTAAATTTAGTTACTTACTTAGCTGAATTACTTAAAACAATACAAATTTACCATAAAAATGGTTAAGTTAATGTGAAGCTTTGAATTGTAAAGCAAATTTCAAAACAATTTAACATAAACAGGCTGCAATGTGACCACAATAATCGATAAGCGGTGACCCCACTTTGATGGCGTTCACTGTTCCTAGTACACATTTATTTATGTTTAAAATAGGCCTACCTAAGTTTACAAGAAAATACTTTAACTGGATTAGAATTTGGAACTGAAATTAACATTTATATTTGGGTAAAGCCACTTTAAAATGTGTATTTGAATGTCATAGTATGAACGGATATTTTACATTGTACAATAATCCATGAATATTTATGATTGGTAATTGAATGATTTTATGATAAGTGAGTATTTAAAAAAAAATTAACGCATTGCAGAAAACTATTTGTTTTCGCACAATATACTATCCCTATAATAGCGTTTACATTTTATGGTGAAACTATAACTATGTTAATGAAACATTCACAAATTTTATTTTAACCACGACTAATAATGTTTTCGTTTGATATTATTTAATTTTTTTCGGTTTAACTATTTACCAAGCAAATTCGTAAAATCGTAACAACCTTTTAAATGATTGAAAGCATTTTCCCCTTACTAATGTTAGTAATTGAATAAATCAAATCAATGCTTTGATATTCATCCAACATCTCAAATTTGCAAAAATATAGTGACAATAACTCAAGAAAAATATTGCAATCACTGATTTCGCAAAATATCTATAATTTGACAATACAATGTACTGAAACATATTTGAAATCGGTCGTTATATTATAATGTTAAGACTATTGCACGTAGAAAATTTAATACTCATTTCAAGTATCTAATGCTCCAAAACTGTAAATAGCATATACAATTTTAGTGATCCTAATTCATATGTAATTAGATAAGGTATGGTTACATAGCTTAAGTAGGGTTCAAAATTATTTCTCTATTTAAATCCTTAGAACTCAGGTTTCGTTCTTACAAATATGATCTTGGAAGTTACCTAAATGTGTTTGTCCACCTATACGTCTAAAACGAAAGCGATACTTAAATGTGGTAGTAAGCTTAAGCATTTACTATAAACTAAAATCGCTTAAACCAATTATCAGTATCGAATCAAATCCTTCTTTTAAGCTTTTTTTTCGAAAAAATACTTCATCAAGCATTTTTCCCGTTACCATATAAAAAACAATAAAAACAATATCTAAAATTGCTAAAGTACGAAGCAATTTTAAGGTTTATTGTACGGTGTTAATAAATAAGATAAACGTGTAGGTTAAGTTATTAAAACCTAACTGACAAGACTGTAAGAATCCTAGATATAGAAAAAGTTCTAAATGTATCAAGATAAACATTTTTGTGGAACTAAAACAAAAATTAAAAGTGCACATGTATTTACAGTACATACCAAATAATATATTGATTGTTCAATCATCTTAAGCGACCTAGTAAAAAATTTAATTAGCAAAAACGTTTATCCCTAAATCTCGTTGCATTAAAATATTATTTTTAATTTTATGTTTATTAGCGAATTTCCCATATAGGGAATCTATTACCGTAGTACTCACGGTAAGACCTGGACCCGGGACCGATTTTTTTTCGGTTTGAGGTCCCTAGAGGCCAAAAACACCATCCGTTCAAATTCATATATATATATATATATATATATATATATATATATGTGTGTGTGTGTCCTTTAGCGCGATAACTCGAGCAAAAATAATCCGATTTTGATGAAATTTGGTACAAACGTGTAAACCTACATTTATTCGAACGAGTTCGCGAACCAGCATGATCGGACCATGGGAACGGGGGTTTATGGACGCTTTTATGGGGTAAAAATGGGGTTTTCCCATTTTTGACCCAAAAAAAATAAAATTTTGCAATTTCTTTTTAAACTCTTTTGTAGAGCTTAAAAAAAACAAATTATTTAGTATATTGAAGCGTTATAATGTGCCTAATGGTTACGGAGAAAATTCCAAAAAATTGTAAATTTAAAATTCCCATGTTATTCTTATGGAGAATAAGTAAACTGTTGTAGTTTGCTTGTTTATAAACATATTTTGCCCAAATTTGGAAAATGTTTTTATTTCTTACTAACTATTAACATTTTACATTAAAAAACACTTTTACCCTCCCTGTTGCAGCAAACCTAAGTATGTGTGAAACTGATTCTATTTAAATAGAGAATAAATGTGATATTTTTAAGGAGACATTTTAGTGTAAATCCATTCAGGGAAATGGAAATTCGCTTAGTCTGCAGGTTTGCTGCGGCGGGGGTATTTTTTATTTGATCCAACAAAGCAATCAGAACTTAAGCTAGTTAAAACAAAAAAGTTGTGATGCATAAAAATTATTAGTTTGTCCATGTAACCAAGTCCAACTATTTATTTTTACAATCTTGACCTCTGCTACGTTTACTATTTAGTATATTTAATTTGTTAAATGACTATATATAATAAAATGCTGTTTAAATAAACTTCGTCAAAAATCATTGACTAGAAATATTTCATAAATATTAAATCTGCATTAGTATTATATAAAATTTTTTTAATTAATGTATATGAATAAATTGGTTAAGTATATTATTAAATTGAATACTCTTTAAACAAAATACTTTATATGAAAGTCAAGTCCGTTTACTAATAACGTTATCAATGACAACTAATTATAAATAATGACACTAAAAATACATAATACCGTCCTAATCGATAGTAATCATTTGTAAGATTTTCTATTGGTTACATTCGCCAAATCTTTGAATTGCCGGTACTATTATTTATATAAGTTACTGGTATGCCTAGTTTTTTTACAGGTATTTCAATCAAACAATCATCAGCTTATGAAGTTTTTTTTCACAATAAATATTAAATATTTATTATGTATTTGATAAAAAAACTTACAAGGTTTCGTTGTAAGGTTTTACTCAACAACTAGAAGTCTATGATAAAATAAGTTTTTCAGTAAGGGATATACATCTTAAGTCTATTATGTTATTGTTCTACGAATAGTGACTAATTATAAATTATCAACCTTTCTATATAAAATGAAAAACTCTAAAAATAATACAGTAATTTTCAAAAGTGTCAATTTTGAACTATTTATGTTTACTATTTATACATATATTAATTTTTATAACTCTTTAGTACAGTATGCTTAGTTTCTTTACAGGTTGTATTTCAACTGAGGAATGTAATCCATCTTAATATTTAGAGGGTTTTATTACAGAAAGCTTTACAACTGTTTCATACATTTATTGTATTTGCACTGGTACAACATTCTTCATATTTTCTCTTGGATCTGTATGATAAAATAGGAGTAATATAATATCTTACTGGTTTTAAAACGATAACAATGAACTATGTGTATGTCAAATTAGCCAAGCCAAAGCCAAGCTACTGTACTGCATTATGCCGTACCGTAGCTGCAGTATTCAGTGATATATTTCCCGGTTAAGATCACCGAACGTTCAGCAATGGCGGGCGGCGCATGCTCCCTCGCTCGTGTTTTTGCCTCTTTTCGCTGTCATGTGACTTTCCCGGCACGGATTTACTCTTTCCAGTCAATAATGCAGATGTAAATAAAATACAGCTGTCTACCGCCTTGGAGATACAGCGTGGGGCGCACGTTTGTTTTGGAGGGAGATACCACTATTTGGAGGGAAATGTCACTTTTCGCGGTGTTTATTCAAATATATGTATTTTTATCAAATGTACTCTACTGTGATTTTGTAATAATTGTAAGCTTGATAGTAAGGTTGATAGTTTGCTTTGGACTGTAGAGGTAAAAACTGAAGATTAGAAAATAAATTGTTCTAAATATGCTGAAGGCCTACTACAAGTAATTTTGGAACCATATATGAAAATAATGTAAATATTACCCTTGTAACATTTAGTGTTTATGGGACTAAAAATGTACAAATGTAATTTTGCTTTCTAGTACAGATTGTTACATTATTTTGTGCATTAATTAAAGTATGCAAGTAACAATAAAATGACTTGCCATAAAAATATACTGCTTTTATCGCTTTCGTTATTTTACCTAACAAGATTTTTTAGCTTGCATAAATCTTGGACATTTTGATTTTCGTCACTACCTATTTTCTCAGTACAACACACGGCCAGTAAAAAATGATTTTATTTTTTAAAAAACAAAAGCCGGGAGATTAAAATTATGAAATAATTAACTCCTAAAAATCATTGAACCTCGGTATTTTTAACAATGAATTTGTTTAGCCCTGCACAACCAGTAACTCTGGAGAAACCATTATTACTAATTTTATTATCAAACCATAATCAACGATAGCTTCACCCCTAAACGAAAATTCACGAAAAGAATTTACCTACGCAACTACCTACATTACTTAATGTAAACACAAGAACGTTGCACAACTACTTACGGAAGGGTTGGGCATACAGCGTCGCATAGGGTCCGGACTCCTGTACGTAGGGCTGTACCTCCCTGGGAAGCAGGGTCCCGGCGCCGAGATAGGCAGAGGTGACTTCCCCGTCATCATCTTGTCTGGGGTGTACATCATGAGGTCCATGGTAGATCCGACGAGCACGGGCAACACATACCACCTGAGGGCCGCGTCCTCTCGTCGCCGCGTCGGACGGGGTTGGAGGCGGTGCTACCCCGCGTCTGCGCGTCGCGGTGCCGACTCTCCCGCCCGCCATGCTACCACCCTCTACCCCCACCCTGAAAATTTAATTGAACATTTGATTTGCCCATTATATGGACTATTGTTGCAAGCGTTTAATTGCTATTTATTTCCACGCGTATCGGTTCCTTGTTCTTTCGTTGGGGTGTATTTAAGGGGTTTTTGGAGTGTGTAGATGTTTTGTTTGTTGGGTTGTAAGATGCAACTTATTTAATGCATGAGTTATATATTAAGTTTTTCCAGCGTCTACATTAGTGAAATTTATATAGAAGAGGCAAAAATGTGTGTCACTCTTAAAAAAGATTATGGGGTATTAAATGATTTATGGAAATGGGGGATTGCAATCGTCCCTCTCACATCGAATACTTAAATGCTAGCCTCTTATTTATATACTTCTACGAATCCTTAGCTTAATAACCTGTGTTGGAAATTCATATAACGATTCACTTAAAACGACAAACTATAAAGCAAAATGTAGTAATGTGCTAGTCCCTATTACCAATACAAGCTTTTCCAGCAATTTCAAACTACATAGAATTTGTAAAATGCACAACTCGTAAATACCTAAATAGTATAAATACCGTACTCGTACTACATTGAGCAATTGACTTTAAAATTGAGTATAAATCTCTTCCTATTGTAAAACTTAATCAAGTTTTAGTGTGTTTTGACGTTGTGTATTGGTATCGATTGAGTGCACTGATGTAGTGTGATTTTTTTATTTCTTACTAAAGGATATAAAAGTGTGTTTTTTTTTTGTTTTAACACAAAGTATTCCTTTGGTAAATACCAAAAGATAGTTGAAACAAAAAAAATAGTCACACTCGAACCAATAGTCACGATTAGATTATCACGTTCGCTACTGAGCGTCGCATATATGCGACGCCGCGGTCATTGCCACAGACCGAGGTATACATTTGAATCTTACACATAGACCGGCTGTCACTTGGATAACAGTACACACGGACCACGGGCGAAAACCTGTAAAACAGTGATAATTTACATTGTAATACGCTACAATCGTGTTTGTAAATAAATTATTCTCATTTTTTTTGTATTTTTTATAACCTTTTGTAATGTCGCATATTTGCGACGCCCGGTCTACAGCGAAGACAATAGTGAAAATTATCATAGTTTTATTAAAATAGACCAAACGTCGCAATATGCGACAGTTCATTTTTTGTGTTTTAAAGTGAAAGTAAGTAAAAAAATAAACAGATTATTCAAGAACAGTTTATAACTGAACAAATATAAAAGCTACACAGGATAATGCAGCATACATACTGCATAAATACATACAGTGATGCAGAGAAGTAAATACCAGTTTTTCCAACTATTATATGACTTCACCAATCATCATATCCACAGACCAAGCGACGCAGTTGTGCGTCAGACATCTCTGTAGACCACTGCTGGGAATTCAGTGCCTTCAAATAGACCACTACAAAGATATAAGCATTTTAATAACATTAGAACCCCGACGCAAATATGCGTCGGCAGTCTGTTTTAATGTGACTAGCCGACGCATATATGCGACGGCAGTCTATGGGTGGAAACCGGCCGTCGCATATGTGCGTCGCTGGTCCATGTGAATGGAAAATTTCGTACTATTGCAGTAGCGAACGTGTTAAATTCACTTTACATATTTAAACAGTTGGCTAAAGCAAGACAAAACCGGACACAGCTAACTATAAAATTTTCTTCAGCTAATTGAAAAAATGACAATTCTATAAAATAGGATTTCAATAGGCCTGCATGACATCCTTGTGCAAAACGAATTCTTATATCTTCTCAAACAAACAAAAGTTCAACATGAGTAATCACTATTTTATTGTAGTCCAATGCGGGGGGAAGCCAATATACCTATTTCTTCACTTGATATCCAATAAAAGGATAGTGTCAGTTACTTTATAATAGCAGAAGTAAAGAACACAAAACATGAATAAAAGTATAAACAATACAAATGAGAAGTATAATTTTCAAGTTTTGCAGACGCGGCGTGTACCGGTGAGCGCTCTGAGTTTTGTGGCAGAGCCGCGCCGCTGTGACCCTAGGGACATGGAGCTTCCCGTTGTTGCATAAGTAATAGTTGCTGATTATATTTAGTTGGAAATAAAACAAAACTGGGATGAATACTCTTGCATTTGAAATATTTTCGCATATTTTTTACTCCTTTTCTATTAATTAGTTTATAGTCTAACGGTGTAAGTAGTTGTATGGTTTATAAATATTTATAGTTTATAGTTATAAATAAAAATTTAAAAAAAATCTGTAGCTTTGTAATGGTTTAGAATTGGTCTGTCAAGAGGTTTAGTTGTCTGGCCACAAACGATTGTCGACTAAATCAGCTGATTGATTAAAGTTAACGGGCCGTTTTTTGCTTGAGTATTCAGTTATGTACCTTTTGGGGTTTCAAACTGCCCCTCTTCCGAAAACGACTACAATAGCACCCTTCAAGTTAAAAACTGTAACGTTAATGTTTTTCTCAAATTTTCAAGCTACAGTTAATGGTATAAACCGTTATAAACAGTTAATGGTCGCTGTTACCCCGATCTATAACAACAACTAATTGAATTAATCGTTATGGTAATTAAAACTTCATACAAGAAAATAATATTTGTAAATCTCCTACCTATTTGGTATACAGATTACAGAAAAAGTACAAAATATATAAAAATATTCTGCAACTTTGAAATGGAAACTGAAAACACCATTAAAGTCCCAACGTCAATACACAAAAAATTGAGGTATAAATAAACATTCCAACCACAGATAGAATTGCAAAAGCCATAACCCAACTTCATTTTATTTTATCCTCCCCCAGTTAGGTCACACCTCACATGAATTACGTTTGGCTATACCCCCATCGTCAATAAAAAAATGAATAAAAACCAACCACAGGTAAAAATCGCAAAAAATAAAAGCACACTATGTTTTCACCCTCTACCTCGGCAAACCACATAAAAGTTTAAGAATAAATAAAATCCAACCGCAGGAAAAAATCACAAAAAAACTAAAAGCACACTCTATTTTTTCATCCTTCACCAGTTAGGCCACGCTTCGCTTATTGCGATCGGTCGCTGGCCCAATTAGCCCCATTTCCCATTTTTGAGTCCAGCGCTGCCCTTTACTAATGCAGGCAAAGCCGCCGAGCGCCCCTGGGGCCCCAGATTTCTGTAAACGCATCACAGTAGGTAAATAATGCACCGAGTGCAACAGCGTGGCACCTGCTCGGGAAACTGCCCGCGCCGCAGCCGACACTGTAGTGGGCCAACACTCTCCCAACACTCTTGTTGCGAAGGCTTTTTGTTTTTCTTTATATTAGTTCAAACATAAAAATATACTATGCATTAAAATAAAGTCTAAATATTAAAGGTATTGATTTTTATGGGAATATGTACTATGAAATAATATTAACTTGTAAGATTTGAGGACTGGAGTTGATAAAATCGTGGATGGAATTGGAACATTTCCATTTTGTGTTGCCATGTTAGCCTATAATTTATTGTTAGTAGATTATGTATTGATTTTTCTGAAATGTCCAGTGTTATTAGTTTTAAATCCTCTAGAATAAGTTAATTTTATCGAAATCGTATGAATATGTGGGTAAATGAGTGTTATAAAGTTATTCTTACAATCAAACTTACCACCATCATCATCGGTTTTTTACCCGGAGAAATGATGACAGCTTTTGATTCGGTGTAATTTGTCCTATCCGTCCGTGATCATTAGGGGTTCTGACTAAAGATACACAGCTGATTTTTGTCAGTACAAAAGCTACATAGATGATCTTCTTCGTCCTTTACACCCATTCTTCATTCATATTACACTTGGTATGCACATAGCTTTTAGAAAAATATACAAAAAAATTAATACTCGAATATACGACACAACTCAAATAACAATTAACTTTCCCTGGTAAGGGAAAAAATTGTTACCAGTTTTTAACACGAAAGATGTTTCGATTTCAGAAGAAAGTTCGCTCTGTGTCTGAAAAAATAATAATGTCTGTAATTGAAACATTAAACCTATCAACCCAGTTTCTAAAACCACCCAAACTAGGGAAGTCAGACAACCCAATTACAACCTCAAACATTAGCATTATACTGTAATTTGTCAAAACAACACAATCAAGCAAGCCATGGGACCACCCGGGGCCTCCACAAGTATCTCAGTGGGTCATAATTGTATAAGTGGCCGCGGGCGGCGCTGCGATCGGCGAGTTGTGATAAGGCGTGTGTCGCACGCGTGTGACGCGTGTCGCGCGTGTGTGTGTGTGGGGCACGCGGCTCGCTCGCTCAGCTCGTTAGCTAGTGGCACTAGTGGCAGGCCAGATGGTGAGCGATGTAGCCCAATCTGCGCTGTTTAGTGTCTGTACCTACCGTATGTTGATACTTGGGCTACGAGGGGCTGTCTGAATTTTGAGTATGGAATGTACTTTGACTTGGGGTGTAGAAAATGGTTGGGCCACTGGTGATGCAAATAATTTGGAGGTTCTGTAGCCAAAAATCTTTCGTGTCTCTGAAATAACTATGTTAGTATAAATGATAAAGGGTCTTTCATCCCTTTATCTCTTCTCGGTCACTGGGTGACACATGTCATATAAATGTGACAATGTATGACGCAATGATTTGACTGGCTGGGTAGCTGAGTGGTTAAGCTGAGTGCGATCCTAAAAGTAAGACTTTTGAATACTTGGAACATGGAACATGGAAACTTTGTAGCCTCATGGGGCTATAGGGTTTTCACAACTTCAACATGCCTATGTGCTTCTCAAGACTATCAAGTACCTCTCTACAATATGTCAGCTAAATCGGTCCAGTAGTTTTCACGTGATGGAACCTCAGAGTTATACACAAACATCCATACTTTCACATTAATAATATTAGTATGATAATTGACTAAAAGGTAGGATATCAAATGATCTTGGATAATGAAGCAGGTAATCTTATTCAGTAACATAGCTACACAGATCATCTCACTCCATTCTACACGCATCCTTCACTCACATATAAGGTTAACATACTCA